AACTAACAAAAACACACACCCCCGAGAACCCTCCCATCCCTCCCCACCTACACCGGATCCACCGACAAAACATAAATACATCCCGCATTCATACATCAGACAATACAAGACACAGGTTTGTGTACAAAGAACCAACATTTGACCTCCACACAAAGCCATCTGCAGAAACTCCCTCCACGCAGGATACAAATGGCTGCCAGATGTCAAAGAATCCATCCACAGATCCTCCAACAGTACATCCAATCCTCTCCAAATGAATGCAAGACACAACCTCTCTCAACCAATGACCATACACTGGAGGATGTGGACCCCTCCAACGAAGAAGAACAAGTCCCCCAGCCAGCAGAAAGCAAAAAGCCAACACCGTCCTCCGATGTCCACCGAAGGAAGCCCCCGCTGGAGCCACCCCAAAAAGAGAAACGAGTGGCGATGGACGAACAGCTCGTCCAAACAGTCCCGAAAAGGTATCAAAGACGCCTTGCCAGCATCCATGCAACCCCGGACAGGACCAGAACGTGTGCAGAATTGCGGCAGGAGACCGTCCGCAGCGATCATACGCCGGATCCAAGTCCCCCCCCCACCCCGAATCTGCACAATCTGTCCCCAGACCAGTGCAGACGATGCACCACCCCGAATCGAACCACAACATGCCTCACACACCGAGGACGAATACATATTCTGAACAATCTCCTGCCAAACTGTGTCCGACATGGACCCCTCCAAGTCCATCTCCCACCCGCCCTCCAAAGAATCCAAACCGGAGCCAGAAAATGAGCCGAGCAGAGAACAAACTCCACTCATAGAGCGCTCCGCTACAGACCCACACACCAAAATCTCATCCACAAGAGAAGTTGGGGGGCGCAGAGGAAAACATCCAGAGCCCGACACCACAAAATGCCCCAGCTGTAAACGCCCGAAGAACTGCGACCCATGGACGCCAAATGTCTGTGCCAACTGCCCAAATGAGGCGAACCCACCGTCTATACAAAGATCACCTAGAGAAGTTACTCCCTCCAAACTCCAAGCACTGAAAACAGAGTCCACCAGCGAAGGAGCAAACACATGGCCACTCGACACCGGAGCAGACAACAACTCTGCACTTCCAAACAACCTCCCGCACTGACTCCAGACCTCCACCGTGTGAGTTACAACCGGACCAGAAGCATAATCACATACATTTCTATTCATTAAAAACACTTTAAACTCATTTCTTCTTTGTAAGTTTGTAAGTTCTCTTTGTCCTGTGACCTTTGTATTTCTTCATCTCGGAAAGTACCAAACTGGTTTCTGTAACAACACTTAATTCCTCATTTTTCATGCATTTTACTTCTCTGTGATAGACCTGTTTTTAAACAATCAGTTACTTTTTGATTTTGTTACAGAGAATTTCCAACTTACTGTATGATTTTTACCATGTTATTTGACAGGTTCCACCCTGGTGTTAATGACAGCCAGCTGTCGCAGTTTGTCATTCCATGTGTGTCGAGCCCTTTAGCCTGACCACCAGAAACAATGACTCAACCATACCTCTCCTATACACTAATCCCTGTTTTAAACTGCAACTTTTTGGAGCTGTAGCGCACATCAAATTATTTTCCACTGGATGCCATTAAACCTATCTTATGGCAATRCCTTTAGATAAATCATAGTACAACTGTTTTTGGTCATGTGACACATTTTTAAACCCATGTTTTCTTTAATATCCTGTTAACTCACAAAATATCGATGGATGTGGTCAAAGCTGATTATGTGATTGACGATATCGTGTGTGGCTACTGGGATGCAGCACAGCGTGCAGAGGTAGTGTCTGTTCTCACCCCGCCCGACACAAACGCATTCAATGATGTGCTGCAGTCCTGCAAGACAAAAAAATCAGGACAAAAGGTTTAAAAGGGAAAAAGAAAAAGAAAATCATAGGTTTACTAGAAGCTGAGGAAGGCTAACATAATTTATTCACCTGTGGCCCACCCAAAAAAAAAAGCTAYATTATTGTAAGGGTCACCCTAAAGGGGAATGGACATTTCCACCTGTCTTTGACTCTAGTTTCAAAAGACCTTCTTCAAAAGAGACGTTTTATTTTCTTTAATAAACAAAATAATAACGCTCTTTATATTCTTGATTTATACTTTCTTTAAACTACAAGTTATCATTTTATAAATCAAAGTTACATAATGAAAATAATGACAGTCTTCTTTCATTATACTTAAGAAAAAGAAAAAACACACAAAAAGAATGTTTCAACGCTTATTTGTTTTACACAAATCTTTGTTTAATCAACTGTTATTTTATAGTAAAGTGATTATGTGTTTTCTTTTATTTTTCAATTATACTAAATTGATCATTGTGATTATGAGTCTCTATGT